ATGTTTTTTTCTTTCTCTCTCTCCCTTCCACTTTATCTAAAGAGCAATGGAAAAATATCCTCCATTGAGGGTTAAAAAACAAACAACAAAAAATCCCCAATGTGTTCACCTGGCCAGGAATCAGAAGAAGCCATCTCCAGTGCAGTGGGGCTGTGGGTGACCTCTGTCCCAGGAGGATCCATACCATTAAACCTTAAGGTGGACCCAACCGTGGCTCCGGGTTATTTGTTCCCTAATCATTCTAATTTCGTCTTGAAAATTAGTTTCTTGGCCGGACCAGTGTGGCTCAGTAGTTGGGCATTGACCCATGCACATACCCAGGTTGTGGGCCTGATCCCCACTGGGGGGCATGCAGGAGGCGGCCAACTGATCTCGATGTTTCAATCTCTCTCTCCCTCTACCTTCTTCTCTCTCTCTAAAATCAATAAAGAAAACAAAATTTAAAAAAAAGCCATAGTATTATTTTTTTTAAAATTAGTATCTTGGATTTTTCCCTCTTATTTTGTTTGTGAGTCTGTCACCGCTGCTGAATTCTAAGGGTAATAATCATTGTGGCCAAGGAACTGAACATGTATGATCTTCTTTCCTCGCAGTGATCTGTGAACACACACACACACACAGCACTCTTTTAAAGTAATTTGAGCTCATTTTTGAAACAATGGAAAATAATTCCTAAAAATAATTCCAGTTTAAAAACACAAAACTATCTCCATCAAGTTCCTATGTCTATCAGACAGAAATATTTTTAAAGCAGAGTTAAAAAAAATAAACTATATTAAACCTCTTACTGGAAAAAAAAAAAGTCCCTTCTGGACAGAGACCAAGCCAAAGCAATTTTAGTCCAAATTGCTTTTCCTGGAAGAGTTGAAAATGTAGTTCAGAAAGAGATGCCTTGGCGACCTCACAAGTCAACATCAGACGCCAATGAGATTAGTCTGCAAGCCTCCACTGTGGTTCTCAAGTACTAATGCAGACAAGAACCTGCCCGGGAGCTCCTGAAATGCAGATTCCCGGGCCCCGGCAGCTGCTCTGTAGACCCAGGTGGTTTAGGTGTGGGAGATTTGAAGATCACATTTCAATTAACTCTGGTAAGATAAGTTTAGAGGTTTAGAGCTTAATAGGGCTAGAATGAGGAAGTGTGTTTATGATGCTATTTTGTTATGAAGTGGATGTCAGTGGGGCCACCTGTACGATGTCAGAGACAACTTAATTCAAGGTGCAGATCCGTCACTAAGTGTGTGACTTTGGGTAAATCATCAACAGTCTTTGTGTTTCTATTTTCTTTTCTGCAAAATGAGAAGCTTGGATGACACCAACAGCCCCCAGTTGATAACCCCAATCACGGTACCTCCAGACAGGCATGACCTAGCTGCTGTCACTGAGGGGGACTGCGGACTCTCCGGTGTGATGAGGTAGGAGCAAAGCTGGGGGCTGTCATTACTGGAACTCACGTCCCCCAGGTAAAGGGCTTCAGCATGGAACAGACTACAGGTCATTTCCAGCTCCCCACTTCTCTGGTCATTTCTGAAAGTTCTCCCAGGGAGGCTTCTTGGACTGCAAATGCTCACATGCACTTGAACTACTCCTCAATTTGGCTCTAAAATGACCCAACGCTGCTGTTTCTCTGAAAACCTCTTCTACAGTGGAGGCAGGCGCAGGTCAACAGGAATGCCATTGTATTACTTCAGGCCAGGAGCAGGGAGTGGAGCTGGGATCTGAAGTGAGGTTGTGGACAGCCTCACCAGTCGGCTCTGCGCTGGGCTACAGCAGACGGGACAAATGATTAATTGGTCACTGCTGCCTCTTACCCTTTGGCTTCCCAACGTGTGGGAGACAGTTGCTACACCATGTTTTGGTGGATTATGAAACCAAGTGCTAGGAAAGCCCACACTGGCTCCTTTCAGAGTGGGTGTGGAATCGTACTGAGTGGGCGTTGTTAACAAAAGCTCTGTTTTAAAAAAATCTGGCCCTGGCCGTTTGCCTCAGTGGTTAGAGTGTCTGCCTCAGAGAGACCTGGATTCAGTTCCCGCCAAGGGCAGGAACCTCGGTTGTGCCGGGCCCTCCTTGGGTTGTGTGGGTGGCAGCCACTCGATGTGTCCCTTTCACACGGTTCTCTCTCCTCCCACTCTTTCTGAACAAAAAATGGGAAAATGTCCTCAGGTGAAGATAAAAATAAAATAATAATCCGGAGGCATGAAGCATGAGCATGTGGCTCCATGAAGCTTTTAGAGCACATTAGAACAATCAGTGACAACAGCGCTTTGCGGATGACTGACGCTGGCGGTGTCTCTTGAGTATTACAATGTGTCAGGCACCCTGCTCAGGGGAGCCTTGCCCCGGACTAGCTTGCCATGCGGAGGGTGAGCTCAGGTGTTCCTGGAACTCGTGCGGGGCAACCCAAGGAAGGAAGGCTGCATGCAGGTGGTGCTGTCTGAGCACAGAGCTGCAAGTTGAGTAGGACTTAGCTGGCCACAGCAGATGGTGGAGGGGCAGCCAAGGGAATAAATAGCATGAAGTGACCAAATGGAGGTGCCGGATGGGAGGGAGAGGAGAGACGTGACGCACAAGAATGGCAAGTCCGCAGAGCGGCTGGAGCGGAGGTGGAGGAGCGAGAGGTGGCGGACAGGTGCGGCCGCGAGAGGAGGTCACGTGGACTGTTCTAAGACTCCTGCAGACCTCTGCTCTTTCCGAGGCCCTATCACACCACATCAAACATATCAAAATGCAGCCTGATCCCACCTTAGAGTAGCTGAACCGTAACAATGAACTGAATTGCAGTTGACCGTTTAATTTCTGTTTTCAAGTTTTCTTTTTGTATTTCAGAGCCAGTAATGCTTTTAAATTCAGATAACATTGTCAAGGGGCCTTGAAAAGCTGGTAAGCTCTAGGCACGGTGCCTACCGGGCCCAAATGATAACGATGGCCTTGTTTTAAACTTTCGGGTTTAAACCCACAAAAACCTGATGTCCCCATCCCCCTATTGCCCGGTGCCCATTCTCTCCCTTGTCCTACCCTTCCTGAGTTTTAGCAGGGCACGTGGCACTCAGCTAGACCGGCTCCAGCTTCCCTCGCAGCCAGGAGCAGCCATATGACTGAAGTCTTGGCCCTCGAGGCGAGTAAGGAAGTGATACCTGAAATTTTCAGGTCATATTCTTGCCCGGGAAGCTGGCTCCCCCCACCCCCTTCTTCTTTGCCCATCCGTTGGGCTGGAGTGTGGATGCAGTAGGGGTGAAACTGTCAGCCACGTAGCCACGGACGACTCTGTGGCGGCGGTTCTAAAACATTAGCCCGCACTCACCGGAGGACTGGAAAGCACCGGCGGAGGCGCCATGGCCAGAAATTCGACTCAGTGGGTCCAAATCATTTCTAACAAGTTTCCATGCGGTGCCGGTGCTGCTGGTCAGAGTCACTGAGTGGACATTTCTTACTTGACAAGATGAAAATGGCCCATGACAGGTACCCAGCTCAGAACACAGGTGTCCCAAAACCCCACTCCGCATTTCTCCCATAATGCCGTGTTACCATAGTCAATATTGAGTTACATTTTCAAATACACAATTTTCCCAGTGAAAAGTGGTTTATTGGGGGGATGGCTTTTATGCAAAATTTCCCACACGGTGTGGTTTGCAGAGCGCCTGTGCCGGCGTCACCATCAGCCCACAAAACGCCGGAGGGGCGCAGGGTTCCAGGGCGGCGCTAGGCCCCTCCCCTCCGCGCCGTTTCTCACCTTCGGACTGTTTCATTTTCACCCTCGAACCTTTTCATTATTGAAATACAAGCCAGACTCTGGAAGGAGCGTGGTGATGAGAAAAAAAAAAATCGAAATCCTGATTCAAACCAAGACTTGGGGGTTTTCTGTAGATAATTACCTATCTCCCACTGTATCAACGAAAAAATAAATTTCAATTAGAATATAAAGTAATTCTCTCTGAAAATGTGTGATGGAAGAGGTCAATTCTGGGTGCTGGAAGTATATTATCCCTCGGAAAAATCTTGACCCTAGAATGCATCAGTCTGGGATGAAAGACATTGGGGGGGTGGGGTATTACATTTTATTTTAGCATAGATGGGATGGGGAAAATAAAAGAAAAATGAAGCAGGGTGAAAAATGAAGTGATTGAGAGAGAAAAGACGAGGTGGAGAAACTTGTTAATTACAGGACTTTCCAGGCAAGATTATTTTTCTTCCTTTCACCAGTTAGAAGCTGTTGAATAATTCATGCCAAGCATAGAAAGGCTGCCTTTTCCCGGGGTGATGTATAGCTGAGCAAGAGAGTGCTTCCAGTGGGTTCACCTCATCAGCCACCCCTCTTGCTTCTGAGCACAGGTGGGAGCTCCTCTCTTGAGCTCAGCTTCTGCTCTGCATCCTTGCGGCCTCCTGCCCACCTGCCTGCCCACAGTCCGGGCTCGCAGCCCGAGTTCCATCTCCCCGCCCGGCTGCCAGCTGAGGAGGCTCCCTGCAGCTGCTGGTTTCTACCCAGGACCATGTGCATGGGTGCTGCTTGGGAGAAGCGGGCACTGCTCCTGACACTGATCCCAGCTAAATTTGTCCTGTTATTTCGGGACCACAGATGCTGCTTCTGAGGTATTTCCTGGCATCTCTCCCTCTGCAACCGCCAGCTAAGGACCAGGCCCAAAGTAAGGTACCCCCAACTCCATTCCCCTGGCATTTCTCCAGCTGGGTTATCTCTACTTTCTCCTGGAAACTAGGGACTCCATCTGGCAGTATTCCCGTGTGTGTGTGTGTGTGTGTGTTTGGTGGTGGTGGTGGGGGGCTGTTCTTGACATTGCTCTGTTTCTGGGCTTCCCTGGTGCCTGTTGAATTCAGAAGCCTTTCCCTGGCTTTGGCGACATTCCTGAGGCAGATACCTGTCATCTGCCACCCCCGTTCTCCTCAAGCTGCCTCTCCCCCTCCCCCAGCCTGTGTTCCTGCTTCAGCCTTTTGTGTCGGTGACAGAAAGCTGAAGGATGTCTTTGCCCTCCTGGCAGGCGGGCGTCGGGATGGGCCGCGCTCTGAGCCCACGCTAGCCGGCGAGGTGTGAAGCCCTGGCCAGGATGACCAACTCCTCTTCCGCGTCCACGTCCTCCACCGCCGGGGGGTCGCTGCTGCTGCTCTGCGAGGAAGAGGAGTCGTGGGCGGGCCGGCGGATTCCCGTGTCCCTGCTGTACTCGGGGCTGGCCATCGGGGGCACGCTGGCCAACGGCATGGTCATCTATCTCGTGTCGTCCTTCCGCAAGCTGCAGACCACCAGCAACGCCTTCATTGTCAACGGCTGCGCCGCCGATCTCAGCGTCTGCGCTCTCTGGATGCCACAGGAGGCGGTGTTGGGGCTGCTTCCCCCCGGCTCCGCGGGGCCCCCCGGGGGCTGGGACGGCGCGGGGAGCAGCTACCGCCTGCTGCGGGGCGCGCTGCTGGGCCTCGGTCTCACCGTGTCCCTGCTGTCCCACTGCCTCGTGGCCCTGAACCGCTACCTGCTCATCACCCGGGCGCCCGCCACCTACCAGGCGCTGTACCAGCGACGCCACACGGCGGGCATGCTGGCGCTGTCCTGGGCACTGGCGCTGGGCCTGGTGCTGCTGCTGCCGCCCTGGGCGCCGCGCCCCGGCCCCGCGGCCCCGCGCATCCACTACCCCGCGCTGCTGGCGGCCGCGGCGCTGCTGGCGCAGACGGCGCTGCTGCTGCACTGCTACCTGGGCATCGTGCGCCGCGTGCGCGTCAGCGTCAAGCGGGTCAGCGTCCTCAACTTCCACCTGCTGCACCAGCTGCCCGGCTGCGCCGCCGCCGCCGCCGCCTTCCCCGCCGCCCCGCGCGCGCCCGGCCCCGGGGCCCCCGCGCTGCCCGCTCCCGCGCCGCCCCTGCCGCCCGCGCTGCAGCCCCGCCGGGCGCAGCGGCGTCTCAGCGGCCTGTCGGTGCTGCTGCTGTGCTGCGTCTTCCTGCTGGCCACGCAGCCGCTCGTGTGGGTCAGCCTGGCCAGCGCCTTCGCGCTGCCGGTGCCCTGGGGCGTGCAGGCGGCCAGCTGGCTCCTGTGCTGCGCGCTGTCCGCGCTCAACCCGCTGCTCTACACCTGGAGGAACGAGGAGTTCCGCCGCTCCGTGCGCTCCGTCCTGCCCGGCGTCGGCGACGCGGCGGCCGCTGCCGCCGCCGCCACCGCCGTGCCCGCGGTGTCCCAGGCGCAGCTGGGCACCCGCGCCGCCGGCCAGCACTGGTGACCCGGCCGGCCGAGGAAGGCGGAGAGGCCGGCTCCCGGCGTCCTGGGTGCCCGTCGCCTCCCTCCATTGGAAAAGGTCCCCAGGCCAAAGGGTCCCCAGACCAAAGGCTCCTGAGCGAAGCCCAGGCAATTGGTGCGAAGATTTCGCCTTCCAGCCCCAAGGTGGGAGGGAAACGTGAACCAAGGTCTCTCCCTAAATGGGTCCCCGAAGTTATTTTGGGCGACCACCTGTTTTTCACCCCTTGTTTCTGTGCTTTAGAGAAATCCTAGAGGCAAAACACTGGAGACTTTGAGAACTTGCAAACTGGCATTTAAAAAGAATCAGTATTTTATTTAAACGGTTTTGGAAAAGGAGTTGGGATAACATATGACCATTCCCACGTTCATCGTCTTATGATGTACATGAAGCGCCCTGAGTGTGCATGAGCCAAAGGAAACACTATGGATGAAGGAATGAATATTTAACCAGTATTTTAGAAAGCACCCCATCTTCAAGGATGCTTCTGTTATAATTTAGCTTTTGTACATTCACCTGAAGAATGAAGGTGCAAGTGTGCACACCAGTGTGTGCTGCTATGAAGACCTCAAGCCCTTTATTCTTAAAAGGGTTTTATAAAGCGAAATCATTCCCGAGTGAGAGAGAATCTTAGCCAGTGAGGGAACAAAAGATATTTTATAGTCCCGTTTGCACTTCTAAGACTGATGGCATTGAGGATTAAGGTGAAAAATTTCCATTGTGCTGATTGGTGCTCTGAGCCAGCAGTGGAATTTTGAAGACATAGGAGGCTTACCTATTTCAGGTACCAGTTTCATGTTTTCTATAGCATGCACCCTTGTTTTAACCCTCTCACTTGCAGTCATTTACCGGCCTTACGGGTGTGATTGCAGCTTTGAACTCTGTGCTGTAACGGTTGCTAAGGAGTATAAGTTCTGTTTTCTCTTTACCATTTAAAATATCTTAACGCACATGATATAATTGAACCCTAATAATACCATGACTGCATAGCTAACAGCTGCTGTTGCATGCTCCTAGATGCTAGAACTTACTGGGCATGTGGTCTACAAAAGCAATACCCACAAGACAAGGACATTTTACTTCCTCCGGATGCCAGGAGAAGCGGCCTTCAATTATTTGAAAAGAGACACAGAGACGCCTCTGGCTACTCAGTTCTTCTTGTCTTGACCCAATTTATGAGAAAATGCCCAGTTGGGACTTCATCTTGCAAATGGTACCACAGTCGAGATGAATCAGTAACACGGTTTGCAGAGCCACCTGAGCTCTGTTAGGGTTTCCAGGAGTCACGCATTAGAAGGCAACACTGTTTCTTATGTACTTTGTATGTATACATGTCTGTTAAAGGATGTGCAACAAACTCTTATATGCAACAGACAGTTCAAATGGGAATTATTCTGAAATGTATGGTTTGAGGCTTGTCATTTTCATCTTCGGTTTACCAAATTTATTTAGAAATATTGGAAGTGCACAATTGTGTGAAATCACTTTATAACATGGAAACGGGAAGAAATTTACAATAAACTCTATCAGTGGTCTGCTAACTTCATCAAATCTGGGGCGAGACAGTCTCAATTAACTGGTTAATTGTTTTGTGGCCCTCTGGACGTGGTAAGTGGGAGAGTGAGGACACTTGTGCATTTGAATTATGGGAGTTGCAAGAAACTTTGATGTATCTGTAGTAAAACAAAGCAAAACAAACATGTTCAACATCAAGAATAGATCAGCAGTCCTTTTATTAATCTACCCCCTTAGTGCATGCACCATTTCTCTCTTACTAAGGTTTCATCTGTTCCCATTTTCCTTGATTCAAATAATTAAAGTGAAAACAACTATTCCTCTGAGCTTTCTTCTCTCTGGTCTTCTTGCACGCCTCCTTGTCACTGTAGCAGGTGACACCATCTTCCAAGGACCCGTGGTGAAAACTCATTCTTCATTCTGGCTTTATTTTTGGTTTCCCAAAATTATTTCCACCTTATATGATAAAATAGGGCTCTCCAGCATTCCAAAGAAATAGGTATCATTTCCTTTTGGGGACATTCATTTGGGGAATAGGTTGCAACAATGACAGGCTGAGGATTTTCTTTTTGGGGGTGGGGTGGGCTGAAGACCCTGTTCTAAATCTCTATAGAAAAGGTGTTCTTCTTTTTTACCCTCACGCAAGGACATGTTTCCATTTTTGTTCAGATAGAGTGGGAGGGAGAGATGGGGGGGGGGGGAGAGAGAGAGAGAGAGAGAGAGAAACATTGATGTGAAAGGGACACATGGAGTGGCTGCCTCCTGCACTACCCCAACCAGGGAGGGGGACGAATAGCAACTGAGGTACATGCCCTTGACCGGAATTGAACCCGCGACTCATTGGTCCAAGGGCCAACGCTCTAACTGCTGAGCCAAACTGGCTAGGGTAAAGGTCTTTCTTTTTTAATTATGTTTTTAAATTGATTTTTTTTTTTTTTTTTTTTTTTAGAGAGAGAGAGAAACATTGATGTGAGAGGGAAACATCAATTTGCTGCCTCCTGCACGCCCCCTATTGGGGATCGAGCACAACCAGGACATGTGCCCTGACGGGGAATCTAACCAGGATCTCTCAGTCCAAGGGACAATACTCAATCCACTGAGCCACACTGGTGTGGCAAGAAAAAATCTCCTTTTAATTAGGCCTTTCTCCTTGCTTCTCACTGCGGATGCTGCAAACGATTTCTCCCTACATTTCTATAAAATATTTGCCACGCATAGAAACAGCTCTTCATGCACCTGACATCCTGGGAAGTTTCTGGCTAATGCTGAGAACCATTTCTTGCTGGCTCAGTGCCATATGAAGACCCACTTTAGGTTATATTTACCAGTAATTAACTCCGCAGGACTGATTCATTTTTAATTTCCAAGCAGCAACAGTGTGTCTAAAACTGCCTTCCTAGGGCAATGGCTGCGAGTGTTGGAGTTACTGCTTTTACAAATTACGTTAATGGAGGTTGTGTTCTTATTCGAATGAAACCACATATTATCCACTCAGGAATACGAAATTCTAATTGCTGTTGCGGGCTGCCCTACTTTGCCTTTTCTACTTTGTGTTTTTTTTTTTTTTTGGTTAGGTATAGAGCCTGGGAAGACATAGAGCAGCCCCTTCCCCCTTGCTGAGTTCTGGGATGTCATCAGTATTATTTCCCGGCACTGCCCTCCATCCAAAATGAAGTATGTGCATAAGCAAGAATTTGGGTTTGTACATAGGCGTCCACACATGGTTTTTGCTCTAAACACTATAGGGAGACTTCCAAGGTCAAACAAATTGCCCAGGTCGCAGAATCAGGGAGTTTTCTGCAATGGAGGTAGTGTTTCTTCAGGTGGACCCGGGAGGGTGGGGTGGAGCTGAGGAAGGGACACTCTTCAACTCTGGGACGAGAAGCCCTTGGAAAGCTCTGCTCACCAACAGAGTGTAGTCTGCTTTGTCCCCATAGTTCAGCACAACCCTTTTCTTCCGCTGACAACCACACAGCAACTCCTGTTTCAAGTGCACCTGTGATTCTGTTCCCAGGGACGCGGACAGTCTCACCTGGCTCCTCACCAGTCCTGTGAGCTGACTTGACGGGGGTCACTGACACCAATGGAATTGGAGAACACTGAGAAACTCTGCAGATGTCCTCACTCTCAGACATGTAAACATATTTATGGGTTGAGGCGAGAATGGGGCTCCAGATGGAGGTCTGAGTTGGCAGGAGCAAGGGGGACCCTTTCTTTCCACCTCTACTTTCCCATCAGTACTTTGAGGAGCCTCCCACACGTGGGTGAGGATTCAGTCCCCAGGTCCAGGCTCTGCCCACACCCATCTCTCCAGCAAGCACCTGCCCACCACTAATATCCAGCAGGACACACAGGGCTCAGAGATGCCCTGGAGTGGCCTGGAGCCATCTGGGCAGGGAGTTCCTAGTACTACCTGTTGAGGGGCACGGGCTCTTGGTGTTCACGTTTCCTTGGGGCCCCTCTCCTGATTTATCAGTTAGCAGAAACGCTTCCAGTTCCTGGCAATGGTCACCTTCCAGTGTGTTGGGGACAAGGTTCATTTCAGCTGGACCCTGAATGCAAACGAAAGCTGTTAACCAGTGAGATCAAATGTCGTATGCAGATCCGGGAAAGAATCTTCTTGGCCATATGGTTGCAGAAGGAGGTGCTCAGTTTGGAGACGGGAAGACTACATGGAAAAATTAAGTTGTTTTCTAATGTCTGGAAGGGCATCAGCAGAACAATAATACCAGGTTCCATTCATTGGTAACAGACTGTGCCCTGAGTACATGATGCCTTACTGATCCTCATGCCAACCTGACAAGGCAGGATTCTGACTGCGTTCAGAGCGCTGGCCGTGCCAGGTGGGCATGCCTGGGCGTGCACAGCTGCAAAGGGATGAAGTCCCCTGAGGTCCAGGCCGCTGACTCCCAAGCCTGGGCTTGTAAGCAGCAGGGGAGGGAGAAAATGCGGGGTGAATTTCTCCAAACAAAATTGGGCTCAGTGGGTGGGAGATGGATTTCAGCTCAATATGAGAAGGAGCTCTGTCTCAGTGATAGGTGCTCAGAATAGTACAGGCTGTCTCAGAAAACCGATGTCTCTAACACCGCAGCGTACGGAGGACGAACTCGGGAAAGGGCTCTGTATTATGCGGGACGTTTTATCAGATCAACTCTGAGAAGCCTTTCAAATGGGATTTCATAAGATTTCTTCTGCTCAGAGGTGACAAAATCTCTCTTGTCCTGGGCTTAAAACATTGCAAGTTATCAGTCAGAAAAAAACGTGTTTTGCAAAACCTTACCCATACCAACAAATAGAGAAGCAAGCCTAGGTGACCAGGGATGTCCCTCCTCGGGCACAGGGACACAAATAGGCCACATTCTTGGTGACTTTGCCCCATTTCTGTGGCTCTCTGTCTCCTTTTTGTTCCCATCTCATCTCCAAACATTTTAATGGAATATAGGCTTAAAGAAGTATGTAGTACTCAGAAGTATTCAGGCTAAATGTTAGGACCTTACACACTGCCTTGTTCACTTAAGAACTTTTACAA